GCCGCTCAACCCCCAGACGCTGGCTCAGGGCTTCCAGCTGCCCAAGAGCGTCAGCCCGTACGTAACCGATTTAAATGACTTATTAATGCATGTATTACTGTCACCTTTTTACTGCAGCATTAAGTCCTGCAGCTCTATGAAAACAGAACAACTGTGACTAGTAGCAGAGAGAACTAGACATGTCCTCTGTGCAGTTAATCACAAAAAATTAATCCTTTGGTTGTTCATTTTACAAAAAAACAACAATTAATATGTGCTGGGAAACAACATGTTGTAGAAAGATGTTCCACCTGCATTTATTTTATTGATCCAGTAGGTTTCATCTGTTCTGAGTGAACACTGCCTGCAGTTCAGCTGAAAAGTCACTGATTTTTTGTTGCATGACTTTTGGTTGCAGCTGAGCAACTGATGAGTTCACAGTTGCAGTGAAGTACGCAGAATTTTTTGTTTTTTACAGGATCTGACTCAAGCAAAATATTTATTTTTGGTGATTTTTGTTTTTTTAAAGTGCAATAAAGTAAATTTGCTGATTTTGAGCTTTAATTTATTTTTTTTTTATGGCAAAATCAAAAGACATACATGATAGATTCAAGGACTTTTGTAAAGTTGGAAATCCGACAATTCTTTGTGATTTTAGTCCGTCTCTGGCTGATAAATGTGGCAACTGCCATTTGTTTTAAGATGAATGGGTTCAGAGGGTTAAACATCAGTGGAATCAACATGATGAACATTTTTCCACGTTTCTGCTGGTGTTAATAATTCTGGAAACACAAACGGTGGCTCTACATGCTACAGATATTTTTACTACTTATATTTTTTATTTGTTTCCACACACTGCCTGCAGTTCAGCTGAAAAGTCCCTGAATTTTCGTCTTTTAGTTGCAGCTGAGTGGAAATGAATTCACAGTTGCATCAAGAAGATTTTTAATTTTGTTTTATTATTGAATCTGGTTGTTCCAAGTATTTAATTTTTGGCTATTTTTTGACAGAAATATGTAAAATAAAGTGATTTTTGATGAAATATGCAGATTTTTAGCCTCAACGAAAATCAAAAGTCAGACATGATGAGTTGGAGGACTGCTGCAAAGTTACATATCTGATGATTTTTCTTATATTTGCTGTTTCTTGTTTATTTTTTAAACGTGCTTTTCAGTCAGCACTTGGTTGGTGTTCAGAGGGTTGAAGCTTTTGTTGATCTGTGTTTATCTGCGTGGTCTCCTTTGTAACGTTGCTGCCCGGTGTGTCTCTTGCAGGTCTTCTCTACTGTCTGAGCAGCAGAAGCAGCTTCTCCTCGAGCAGCAGCAGCAGCAGCAGCAGCTCCAGCAGTTCCTCACCTCCCAGAACTTCACGCCCGTAATCACACTCTCTTTATCGCTCCTTGTCATTCTCACCTGTGTGTTCAGGTGTTTCCTCGTAGGATCTCTGAGATTTCTGTCTTTAATTAGCTGACGAGTTGAGATGTGCTGTCTGCGGTGCCACTGATGTCGGGTTTTTCACCATTTTGATTTCCGCAACGTTAAAAGGAACTAAAACCGTTAGACCATGAGAAGCAGCTGCAGGCAGAAAATGTAAATTCTCACCAAAATAATGTGACGTCAGCAGACTTCGACCTCATCCTTCTTTCATTTTGTACATCTTCACATCTGGGAATTGTTGTATTTTCACTTTTAAAACCACCTGTGATGTGTGGGAGCATTCAGTAAGACAAAACAAGCCTCAGTTTGTTAAATCTGACAACATGGGAGCAGCTTGGAAGTTATGTTTACATGTAGACTCCAGTTTTTGGCTCCTACATGAGTTGACGTCACAATTTTGTTAAAATATCTAAATACTGGAACCTTGCCGTGACACACATAAAACTCTTCTGATGTTAGAGCCTCAAACGTTGGTGAAATGTTGAGTAATAGCTTTTTTTTGGTAGGAAATGTCAATACATCCATATATATACACTTAAAGGAACTTTCTGGGGCCCAAATATCACCTTTTGTTGCAAATTCTGCACTTTTTCCCATTTTTAGGGGCCAATAATTAAAAATTGTGGCCTTCAGTCATTTAAAAATCATCTAAAATAACTTTAAACGTGTCCGACATGTCGGAAAAGTTGTTCAAAATAACTTTGAAATCGTCTAAATCGACTCAAACTGGGATTTTATCAGGTCACAATACCAAAACACTTGAACTTGTCTTGCCAAACTTGCAATAAAACTAAATTCTACTGATGTTAGAGGCCTCATAATGAGGTATAGCGTCGACCAAAGACTGTATTTTTTTTTAGCATAAAATACAAATACAACAATACAATATAACCTTAAAGGAACTTTCTGGGGCTCCAGTACCACTCTCGGTTACAAATTTTGCACTTTTTTCTATTTTTAGGGGCCAGTAATTAAAAATTGTGGCCTTTGGTCATTTATATGTGCTGGACAGAGTGTCATCTGTGTCTAAAATAACCTTAAACATGTCTAAAAGTCAGAAAATGTGTTCAAAATACCTTTAAAATGGTCCAAATTAGGATTTTATCAGGTCACAATACTAAAAAACTTGAACCTTGTCTTGCCAAACTTGCCATAAATCAAACTCTACTGAAGTTAAAGGCCTCAAAATGAGGTAAAGCGTCGACCAAAGACTGTTTTTACTTAAGCTTGTTCGAAGATGAACAATAATTTACCATCAGAATAAACAGAGTTGTGCTGGAACACTAAACACACCGTCAGTTCATCCTTACATACCTAACCCTCACCCTAACCCTCCACCTGGAGGCCGGACTGTACCAACGACAGTCACGAGTCTCCTCCGGCAGCAGGCGCCTTATTTGACTTGCAAACTGGTGAAGGTTTGGTGGAGCAGAAACCAGTGAGACGCTGAGTAAATATAGAAACCGGTTTGTTTCCTGTGTGACTCTGAAGGTTCGTCGTCATGACGCGCTTCAGTCAAGACAACAGGAAGTGAAAAAACAAGTCGCTTTGACCTGATACGAAAGGTGAAAGTGACACTCTGACCGAAGGGAAGCTGCTCAGCTGCTTCCTGAGTTACAGAAATTCATTTTTGAGTAAAAAGTTGTGTTTTGAAGGCACACAGATGGAATAGTTTAAAGTTAATGTTATGAACCAACACAGCCGCATGTGGAGAATAAAAACTATCACCCAGTGTGTAATGTTAGATGATAAAATGATGAAAATATAACAAGTATCTCCACATATTTCAGTTCCCTCCTTCATATAATAATAACAGAGCTTCCAGAGCACACAGGACTAAAACTAAGGAAGGAAACACGGTGAAAGATTTTCAAAATAAATCAATAAAACAACAACAGCAGATAAAAAGATAAAAGAACCAAACATGAAGAAATAAAAGAAAAAGAGGGTAAAGCCATAAATACAAGTCTAGAAGTAATAATGATAGTAAATAAATATGTAAAAAAGGAAATAAAGGAATAACAAGTCAGGAAAAAGAAGGAAAAAAAATGGAGGATGAAACCATGAACACAACACTAGAAATATTAATAATAGTAATGAATAAGTAAGTAAATAAATAAAGAGTACAAGAGATTAAAATGAGCAAATAAAATGTAGGAATAAATAAGATGATAAAGCCCTAACCCTTTGTTGTTCTTTAGACTTTAATCTACTCGTAAGGTAATTTTTTTCCCACAGCCAAGTTTGAACACGGTGAATGATTTTCAAAATAAATCAATAAATCAACAGCAGATGAAGTGATAAAAGAACCAAATCAGGAAAAAAAAAAGAAAGAAAGCAGAGGGTAAAACCACAGGCACAAGGCTACAAGTAGTAATCGTGAATAAATAATAAACAAATATTATTTAAGAATCGATAAGACGATAAAAACAGACAACCCTCAGCCTTTGTTCTTTTTTATTCTTTAGACTTTAATATACTCGTAAATTCACATCATTGTGAAAAACACGTCCGATAACCAGGCTGGAGTTTAAATGTCAGAACTTCTCTCAACATCTGGGCTGTGAAGTACAAAGGCTTCCCCCAACATAAAGCACACGATACATAAAACATCACACCAGGTCTAACGCCGCCGTCCGTCCGTCCGTCCGTCCTGCAGGAGCAGCAGGTGGTGGTGTGCCAGATGCTGCAGCAGCAGAGGCAGAGGGAGCTGCAGCGCCTCACCCTGACCGGAGCGCTCGCCTCCACCCCCAACTCGCCCATGATCGCCCAGTCGCCCAGCCTGCTGTCCTCGGCGTCGCCGCTGCAGGGAGGCCAAGGGGGGAGTCTGTTCGGCCTGCAGGACAACGCACTTCACAAGCCCGGGGTGAGTGGCGCCCCCTACAGGCACGCTGAAGGACGGCAGAACACAGAGCTGCTCGGATCAGAACAGGAGTCAAGACCTTTGTCACAAACACAATTATA